GCGAGCATTAAGTGGAACGCAGCCAAGAAGCTCGCGCAGAAAAGGATAGGTTGCCCCGATATTTTGCCTCTCACACCGTTCTGTCAACACAGCAATCAGCATATACTATAGATGCTGGGTCTATCTTATATCTCTGTGGAAAAAACGAAAGAGAAGGCGCGAGGAAAAGCACGACGTGATAGAGTGGGAGACGATGGTCCAATTCCGGCGTTCCGCTTGTTGTTGTGAGAGCACTGAGAACTGAGAATGAGCTGGAGACGCCAGCGGCCAGAGTCAGTCGGTAGCGGCGCGTCCCAGGCGCGAGTCGCTAAAAATGAATCGGCTTAAGTACGGATCTGTAATGGTGGAGACCGGATCGTCGGTCTTGATGTCGTCTCTCATACGTGTACTCGCTGTGTCTTTCGTGCTCTTGTGGCCGGTATTAAGTGAGGAGACCAGCCTGACCGGCCGTATGCGGGCGATCAGCGAGGATCTAGACAGGCAACTTAACGAGATAATGGCCTCGCAGGCGCTCAGCTATTCGACGGTGAACACCGTTGGGCTGCCTTACAACGCTACCACTAAGTTCAATCCAAAGGGCATGGGCCAGCTGTACAATGTGACGAATATATTCATCGATTTGGTGCAGAGCAAGCAGGCGTATCCGGAGGGTGAGTGCTCCTATTCTCGAATCTCTGTCTCCTGCGAGATCCCGCCGGAGACGCTAGTAAGGGGTGGGGGAAGGGAGGATTTGGGGTTAGGGCATGGCATCGTACATGGTGCGTCGCGCATTTTCGCCCTTCTAGGCAACGGTTACATCCTGTAATACCAATATTGCGTCATACGCTCGGAAAATGATCGCTGTGTTGGTAAACAAAATGGACTGTCAAAGCATCAACACAGGGATTGACACAGGGTAACGGAGTTTCGTCTCGTTCGTGTTTTCAATCACCGCGATAGATTTTATCTCGCCGCCACCGTCCCGTCGGAGCGATGAGTAATTGCGGAGCAAAAGCGACTTAGCGGACTGTATGCCATCGATATGAATATTTCCATTAATAAACTAAAATATTTCGATAAAAATATATGCGTACTGGAAAGGCGTGCCGAAGTGTCGAATATATTTGTCGGTGTTGCAAGAAAAGGTTAAAAATGAACAGAAATGATGAAGAGACTTTTATATCGAAGAGGTATACTTAATTTCTCGTAATTGTCTGGCCCTGAAAGGCCATCAACGAATTGCAAGAGAACTGCACTTCATTAATAAACTCCAATGCGAACCCACCTTTAGAAGCGGACGCGTTTGTCGCTCGCGCGAGATCGACGAATTACCCATGAAGGTCACCAAATAAAAACTGCACGAGATCATTTGAGTCTTCTCACAAGCGATTTGTAATTCATATCTTATCTTGGGTATACATATAATAATATGAAGAAATAGAATCGTGATGGGAAGAGAGAATTAAAAATTAATTAACTCTAAAGCTTTTAAAATCCCGTGCAATATTGGAGCTGATTTTAAAAATGAAGACGCGATAAGTCTGAGCTAACTAATTTTATCTCGGTAATTCTACTCAATGATTATAGTTGCTTTCTTTTTGGAAGATACAGTCGACACAAGTATCATTCTATCTTTGTTATTCATTGAATGCCAAGAATTGGACGATGTTTATATTGATTATGTCTCCCAAAAGGAAAGCAACTTTTATCTTTCTTGTCATCCTATTTATGATGTAGGCAAAGGAAAAATTTTCGTCAGTTAAAATGAGCGCTAACCGAAGTTATTGTAATCTAGGATTTCTGTTTCCTTATTACAGTCATATCGATTTGCGAGTTAAATTACAAAAGCCAAAAACTCGCATGTTTTTTTGCGTCCTGTACCGAAATAAGTTTAATTTTTCATATGCCACCGTGTTCGTATATTTGGTAGAATAAACATACAAGAGATCCTTTGTTTCATTATTCTATGTTTGTTAAAAGCGCCGTAATAATTCAGCTGACACTGCAAAAGTGTGTAAAATTGTACGAATCAGTGTAAAAATCACAACATTAAAAGTTCATAGTAAAAATGTATAAGTATGATTTTATATTTATGATTTGTATAATTTTACATACTTTTTCTACACATTTCCCGTAAGAAATACAGACTCCATGATTAATCGAAATTTATTAATCCGCGAATCGAAGACAAATCTTTGATATTTCATTAATCTTTGTTATCTAATGTAAGCGATGGCATGCGAAAAAATTTATTTATTTCAACGTACGGTAGGAAAAAAGGATTACATGTTCACATCTCGTTTCTGATGTCATAATTTACTTAATGTGAGGAAAATGGCAATAGTCTTAATGATGAATGGAGGGATCACGAGTTACGATCTGGTTACAAATACGATGTACAAGCGAGAGCTTGTAATGGCATCTATAACAAAAGCTTATACTCGTGCATTTGCAGAAATTTTACAGATCTCTAAATTACATTTAGGCCCGGTTGTTCCATCTTTTGGTAAATTTTACCTGTTGGATATAAGTAGCAAAATTACCCAATCACATACGCGGATTACCAGATTTACCTCACAGGTAAAATTTACCAAGAGGTGGAACAACCGGCCCTTAATATTGTAACCCTTGCGCATAGAATAAAATAGAAGAAAAAAAGAATAGAAGGAAAAATATAAAAATATATAAATTTTCTAATATTTGTATTATAAATTTATGTCTATAAACAGACGCTTTTATCCACGAATTCGATCATTCTTACTCGTGTAAATTTATGACGCGTTCCACACACTCTCTCTCTCTAAAATATTCCTTATATATAAATCGGATTTAGGTCTAGCGATGAGATTATGCGTGCGTCCAAAGAAAATCAATATCAATTTATGAGATTTGATACACTCCGTTGTTTTATTTCGTTTTGATTAAATTTACGCGACTGTGGCCCGTTTTTACCAATGTAGATTAACCTTAATCTCGATTCAACTGACTCTTCATCTTTTTCTTATTCTTAAAACTAGAAAAAGGTGAAGAGTTTATATTCAGTAGAATAAAACATACAAGGGATCCTTTAGTTGAACCGAGATTAAAGTTAAACTTTGCATTGGTAAAAACCATCGACATCTAGAATGGACCGCTGATGGCAATGGTGGGAGTAGAAAGACGATTAGAGTGAGAGGCAGGAATAATAAGATCGTTCTTTCTCTGTTTACTGAAGCCTGATTGGTTGTTGTTAATCCAACAACCAATCAGATAGTTAGAAACAACAGTAAACAGAGAAAGAACGATCTTATTATTCCTGCCTCTCACTCTAATCGTCTTTCTACCCCCACCATTGCCATCAGCGCTCCATTCTAGATGTCGATGGTAAAAACGGGCATGTCTGTCCTTTATTAACCTCTAAAATACGATTCACAATAGTTATAAATGAAGTATTCGTATTTTTTACATTTAAGTTGATACATAGATTGACATACAGGCTTTTTGTACTTGATTTGCTTGGCCAGGATTGTTATTTTGGTATTTAGATTTTAATTTTTTATTAAAATTTGCTTTTTCATTACCATTATTCAAATAAAGTAAAATTAAATAGAAAGACATGTAGGTCAAACACGAGCTTAAAAAAATAAGATAATAAAGTTCATTAAGACATTAATCTATATCATAAAAGATGTGAGAAGTTTTTACAATTATTAATAAATGGAACGTTAGACAATATACTATAGTAAATAAATTATTAAAAATTAAGTCTTCTTTATGTAATAGTTGTCGAAACTTTCTTTGTTTAAAGATGAAAAAAGTGGCGTCAAACGTATGATTACATGTATTAACGTATAATTACATGTTAATTAAATTAGAAGTATTGCACCGAAAAAGGAGTCAATGTTTGACAAACTTACTTAATTTTTCAAGATATGAATTCTATAGATAGAATTCTGTATTTAAAGCTTTTAATGCTTTTTCTTCTATATCATTCAAAACTAAGTTCGCGATTATGGGCGATAAAGATCATAGGAGTGTCATAAGTTTGATTATAAATAACGGATTGAATGTAAAATAGGTAGACGATAGTATAAATTCTACAGTAGAAATAAATTCAACGAATAGAATGCATGTTTTATTTTCTACGTAATTCCATCTAATTTTTAGATTCTGTATAGCTAAGTCCAAAGAAATATTAGTGAACAGAGATGTTGCATCCAACGAAATTAAAATGTCAGTACTCTTAATTTTTTTACCTGAGAGAGTTTTGTATAAATTCAAACTATTCTTAACTTGTTTGTCATCAAAAGTAATGCTGTCAGATATAATTTAATGAATGTATTTTGTTAAAGAATAAAGTGCTTTATTAATCGATGAAAGTATAATTCGGAAAGGAATGTTTTCTTTGTGGATCTTAGGGAGTGCATAAGCTTTTGGTAAAATGGAATCACTAGAATACGAATGTAAGGAAAAGTACGTTTTTTTGAATAGATAATCTCTCTAAAATCATTTTTTTACTATGCAATTCGCTTTATTTTCAATATTTTTGATAGAACTCTTTTCAACTGTAGTATGAGTAGTATTATCACTCAGCATCTCCTCTATTTTATTGTTATAATCATTATTTAGGGCAACTGTTACGTTGCCTTTATCAGCCTTGGTGAAAATGACATCAGGATTTGATTTACAGAACTGTAAAGTTTTTTTGTGTAAAGATATCAATTTATTTTTCATGTGATTTCTCTTTGTTTTATTAAACAAAAGTCTATGTAACTGTGGGATGGAAGCACTATGAATTTTTTTTATATCTACAATATTGATATAACGATTATAATGGTCTACGTCTTTGACGAATTCATGTACAACCTTTTTTTTGTTAATATTGATAGGGAGATCAAAATTGCTGCCCAATTGCAATAAATTGGAGATTTTAGATGAAATTTCTTTGTTCCAGAAATTAATAATTTTTCATTCATGTGGAACAAAGGATTCGGTATTGTTTTTAGAAAATTTTTTCAAATCAACTTTATAACTTTATGAATAAATTCATCAGGAAAATATTCTGAAGAGGAAAAAAAAATTTATTTGTTGAGTTTCATTCGATTTATCAATGTGATAATAATAATTAATTGGTTTAATATTAGCAAAAATTTTTTAATTATTTTTCTCTAATAATCAATTTAATTTATTGTTGTGAATCATTGTAGTTCTATGTCTAAAATTGTCAAAAGAGATTGAATGATGTTTTACAATATCTTCTCATATATAGTTGGGAAGAAGGTTAAAAAGATTAGATGACAGGCAAGTTAGCTGTTTATTTAAGAGAGAAATGTGTCTATGTAAATCAAAGATTTCCAGTTGTAGAATTTTCACTTTCGTATTATAAGTATACCGGGTATTACAGACCACCCGTATCACCCTTTTATTTTCGCAGGATAAGGTCCAATCGTAAAACTGTTTAAACAAAAGTTGTGGGGTTTAAAGAAATTTATTTGCTGATCTCATCAGTTTGACCTTGGATGGCGTCGTCAAGGTCAAGTTAAGGTCACGTCGATTTTTTAAAATGGAACATCCTATTTTTTATTTTAGGAGTCTAATATAGGAAACCAAAGGTATAATAAATAATGTGTTTGATATATCTTCCTATTCATTTGTATTTACATATTCGAGCAAGAAAATCACGTTATAGAGT